GACTGTCTAACCCTAACCCTAACCATGACCCCAACACCACCAGGCCTGAGCCAGGACAGTCCCCTCCCAAGGGCCCCTGCAGTGTCTAACCCTAACCATGACCCCAACACCACCAGGCCTGAGCCAGGACAAGCCCCACCCAAGGGCCCTGCAGTGTCTAACCCTAACCCTAACCATTACCTAACACCACCAGGCCTGAGCCAGGACAGGCCCCTCCCAAGGGCCCCGAGGTGTCTAACCCTAACCCTAACCATGACCCCAACACCACCAGGCCTGAGCCAGGACAGGCCCCTTCCAAGGGCCCTGCAGTGTCTAACCCTAACCCTAACCATGACCCCAACACCACCAGGCCTGAGCCAGGACAAGCCCCACCCAAGGGCCCTGCAGTGTCTAACCCTAACCCTAACCATGACCCCAACACCACCAGGCCTGAGCCCGGACAGGCCCCTTCCAAGGGCCCCGAGGTGTCTAACCCTAACCCTAACCATTACCTAACACCACCAGGCCTGAGCCCGGACAGGCCCCTCCTGGGAATCCCGTGGGCTCAGGCAACACCTTTCCCATCCCCCTCCTCTGCCAGAGGTTCTCAACTCTGTTCACTCCAAGAGCAAAGGCCTCTTGGCTGACCCCAGAGAAGACTGCGGCCCTCTGGGTTGCAGTTCTCCGTATTCCAGCGCGAAGTGCCCTACGCCACTCCCTGCCACCAGCTGTGTCCTTACAGTCCTGCCCCCCCTTCCCCACCTCCTGTCCCACCCCAGGTCCCCTGGCCAGCGAGGAGTGTCCCCTCCTGTCCCACACCCTCCACCCCTGCCCTCCCCTCGCACCTGTGGAGTGCAGACAGCAGCCCGAACCCTAACCTGGACGTGCCCTCGGGACAGTGCCCACCGCGGCGGGGAGCGCCCCAGGGAGCCCCGGCCCCTGCTCAGAGGGTCCTCTCTGCCCCTGGCCTCACAGGACAGAAGCAAGTGTGTGGCAGGTAACGGCGAGGCTGAGCCGTCAGGCAGGTGAGACACCTGTGACTCCACCTGTGACTCCACCTGTGACTCCTTCCGGGCTCGGCCGCCGGCCACACTCAGCGGATAGGTGTTGGGTGACCGGGCGCTGGCCCAGGGCAGGATGCCCACGTTGCCCTCCCCCCACGTTCCGACCTGCCCTGGCCCCGAACACGCACCCTCCGGCCCCCCACACCGAGCCGCAAGGCCCTTCCCAGGCTGGCCCCGGGCTCCGGCTCGTCCCGGTCGAACCGCAGCTGCCAGGAGTTGGAGGTGCCCCTGGCTCCCGCATGGAGTTCCCCGAGGTGCGGTGACACCAGGTGACACCAGGCCAGCAGTGTCACAGCCCCAGGGGCCGCATGGAGCCGTCTAAGAAGCGTAGACGCCCCCACAGCCCCCTCTAGGCCCTGGAGCCCCCTGTGACCCCACAACCAGGGTCCCAGCAAGGACGACAGGGAGACCTGAGCGACAGGAAGGGCAGGAGGGACGCAAGCACCATCAGACCCCCCGCTCGGGAGGACTGACGACCCCACGCCCAGCCAGTCTCGGGGTCCCTGGGTCTCGGGAGTGCTTAACCCTAACCCTAACCCCGTCCCGGGGGACCCGGGCCATGGGGTGCAGTACCCTAACCCTACCCCGCCCGGGGGACCTGGGCCATGGGGGTGCGCTACCCTAACCCTCACCCCGCCGAGGGACCCGGGCCATGGGGTGCAGTACCCTAACCCTAACCCCGCCGGGGGACCCGGGCCATGGGGGTGCACTACCCTAACCCTAACCCCGCCGGGGGACCTGGGCCATGGGGTGCGCTACCCTAACCCTAACCCTAACCCTAACCCCGCCGGGGGACCTGGGCCATGGGGTGCGCCACCCTAACCCTAACCCCGCCGGGGGACCTGGGCCATGGGGTGCGCTACCCTAACCCTAACCCTAACCCCGCCGGGGGACCCGGGCCATGGGGTGCGCAGCCCTAACCCTAACCCCGCCGGGGACCTGGGCCATGGGGTGCGCCACCCTAACCCTAACCCCGCCCGGGGGACCTGGGCCATGGGGTGCGCTACCCTAACCCTAACCCCGCCGGGGGACCCGGGCCATGGGGTGCGCTACCCTAACCCTAACCCCGCCGGGGGACCTGGGCCATGGGGGTGCGCTACCCTAACCCTCACCCCGCCGGGGGACCCGGGCCATGGGGTGCAGTACCCTAACCCTAACCCCGCCGGGGGACCTGGGCCATGGGGTGCACTACCCTAACCCTCACCCCGCCGGGGGACCCGGGCCATGGGGTGCAGTACCCTAACCCTAACCCCGCCGGGGGACCTGGGCCATGGGGGTGCACTACCCTAACCCTAACCCCGCCGGGGGACCCGGGCCATGGGGTGCGCCACCCTAACCCTAACCCCGCCGGGGGACCCGGCCGCGGGGAGGCGGGCGCTCACCTCCTTCCGCGGGACGCTCGCGTTCCGGCAGCTCCGGGCGCTCTGCGGGGCCGCCAGCACCTCGCGACCCAGACTCACCCCAGCGGCACCGAGCGCGGCCCTCCCCAGCGGGACGGAGGGCCGGACGGAGGGAGGGGCCGAGTCCCCGCGCCCGCCCGCCCGCCCCGCCCCCGCGGGCACCGACGGCTCGCCCCGCCCCTCTCCGGCAGGGATCCAATCCCCGCCCCCTCGGGCAAGGCCCAACCTCCATCCCCCTTGTGCTCGAGCTGCTGGCTCCGCCCCCTCGGAGGGGCAGTACCCAATCCCCGCCCCCTCGTGCTGGGGCCGCTGCCTCCGCCCCCCTCGGACAGGGCCAAAACTCCGCCCACCTCGTGCTCTGGCTGCTGGCTCCGCCCCCCTCGGCAGGACCCAATCCCCGTCTCCTAGGGCAGGGCCAAAACTCCGCCCCCCTCGTGCTCCGGCTGCTGGCTCCGCCCCCCTAGGGCAGGGACGCAATCCCCGTCTCCTAGGTCAGGGCCAAAACTCCACCCGCCTCGGGCAGGACCCAACCTCCGCCCCCTCGTGCTCGGGCTGCTGGCTCCGCCCCTCTCGGGCATGGCCCAATCCCCGCCCCCTCGGGCAGGGCCAAAACTCCGCCCCCTCGTGCTCAGGCTGCTGGCGCCGCCCCCCTCGGGCAGGGCCCAATCCCCGCCCCCTCGGGCAGGGCCAAAACTCCG